GTAACTGTTGTGAAAATTTGTTGTGTGAGCATGAGTGAACTTTCAGCAGTACAAGTGATTGTTCTTTATATAAGGCTGCCGACGACAGTACTGTAGGTTAACCCAAACATTAAAAACACTATGAAATATCCTCGTTTCAATGTTACCTAATGCACCCCACCTACACTGGCTGACAGCAATTAAACTCGTAATGTTTCCCAGTCTTTCAAAGTTTTTCACATTTGGTATTTGCTGTATCAAGTGTTCAAACAGCCTTATCTCTACTAATCAACTTAGCCGGCCTCTCGTCACATATTTTGGCCCTATATATAAATGTGAGAGTTGTGGATTCTTGCGGCGTTAGAGGAACCAGAAAGACGCCCAGGGAGGCGTTGTAGGGAGAGGAGGCCCCGGGGACGACCAGAATCACTCAAGGTGGATAGATGTGGTGTTGAGGGACCAAGGGGTGAGGAACTCATTGTGAGGGACACGAGAGGAGTGATGCAAGAGACACAGTGAATGGGGAGAGGTCATGTCAGACTCGTATCAATAACAAACACCTTTAGTCAACAACGCAGCGCTGCTCCTGGCCACTCTTCCCTTCACACACACACACACACACACACACACACACACACACACACACACACTACTACTACTACTACTTTGCTGTCACTCGGAATCGAGTATGACGATCATCCAGCTATGATACAATGATATGAGTTATTTGGGATGTCACCTTCATTGGTGTGTTTTGAGGTGACTAAAGAGGCCGATACGGGACCGGCAGAGTCGTTTACAGATGTTGCACATGTGGAGGGCTACATCTAGTGCGGGAGGGGCGGTGGCAGCATCTTTTCGGCGTACACACACAGAGTGGCACCTGCAACGTCTCTCAGAAACTGTTGACATGTGCAGTGTGAGGACCTGTACCTACACCTACACCACCACCTACACCTGCACCACCATCTACACCTGCACCACCACCTACAACACCACCACCACCACCACCTACACCTGCACCACCATCTACACCCCTACCACCACCTACACACCACCTACACCACCTACACCACACACACCTGCACCACCACCTACACACCACCTACACTTGCACAACTTTCCAGTAAATTCAATTACAGAACTTGTTTCGGTCTTTTGGAGAAATCCTCACGTTATCTTTGTGAGGAGTTTACAGAGGTGGAAGGGGAGGAGGATGGGGGTTGAAGGAGGCTGGGAGGGAGGGAGGAAAGTGTGGGTGAGGAGGGGAGGTTGTAGGAGGAGGAAAGAAGAGGGGAGGAGGTTCGAGAAAATTAGGAGGGGTGGTAGAAAGGGGGAGGGAGAGAAGGAGGTTAGGAGGAAGGTGAGAAGGAAAGGGAGAGAGGGAGGGAGATAAGGAGGGAAAGGAGAGGGAGGGAGATAAGGAGGGAAAGGAGAGGGAGGATAGAGGGGAATGGGAGATGAGTAAAATGTTGCGTAGGTGCGATGGTGGTAGAGGTGAACTGGGAGGGAAGAGGGGGGGGGGGGTATTCACCTACTCAGAACTACCTCTTCAAATTATACCTATTCTGTTGTATACTATGTGTTTGTATAACTGTAAAATATTATATGTCATAACACTGTACAGAACAAACATCATCTTTCTTCTCTACTATATACGTGTTAGTACTCGTTCACCTGATCTGCTACTTGCTTATATTTTGTCTAATATTTCACAAATCTTATGATATTGTACTCATTAATATTTTTTTTAATGTATCGAGCTATGTGATTCCATTCATGATTGTATTTTAAACATACATTTAATTTATCCGGAATTACACAAGCCCATACTACAGAATCCACTGATATAAGGTCGGCAGAATACCAAATATGGACTAGTTGTTTTCGTTGTACTGTTGACGTTAAAGACACCAAATATAGCAAGCTGCCTAATGTCTGTGCCGACAAGTGCGTAGGGAACCAGGTAAACATCTCTAAATTACCAACAATAACTAAAACAATTTACAAGTTCACCCATTATGTCAGCTTAGCGAGTCTGTACTGTATAGGAAGGATGGAGGAGGTGGGCAGGAAGGAGAGGAATGTGGGATGGTGATTAGAGAGAGAGAGAGAGAGAGAGAGAGACTTCGATACAAGAAATACTGTCCAGGTAAACGTTGATGAAGAACACTATCAGATTCCCTAAAAGGACTTGGAGAGGGTGTAGTTGATCCCGGTGTGTGGTGTTGTGTCTGGTCAGTGTAGGGGAGGAGAGGGACCCTGTCTTAGGAGGCCCCTCAAGTAATACTCAAGAAACATGAACGTGAAGAGGGCATGGCTGGCTGAGTGCTAGGTTGGGTGAGGAGGGAAGTCTTGATGAAGGTGGTGTGTTGAGGCTGGTGGCTGTTGTGAGGTGCACTGTATGAGAGGGTGTAGTGGTGGTGGTAGTGTACTGTAAGGGGGTGTGGTGGTGATAGAACAGTGATAGTGGTTATGGTAATAGTGATGGTGGAGGGAGTGGTGTGGGTGGGATGGATGAAGTAAAGATGATGGTGGTAATGGTGGTGGTGATGGTGAATAGAATGATAGTTAAGTTAGTCATTGATGTGATAATAGTTCAGATATAATACGGTGACGATTTTAACATATACAATACGATCATAATATTTTAAACTCTTGACTATTTTTTTTCTTTTTTACACACTATAGTCATTAATTTCAGATATTCAATTAATACTTTTTGTAACTCTAGTCCAGTAAAGTCTTTCCTTCTCATGCTAGTTGGACCAAACACTCTATCAAACGTGTCAAGTGATCCTCAGAATACCCTGACGTTGTCCTCGAGTGAGTTGTAAGTTGAGTCAGATTTCTCAAACACGACATCTTCACGCTGTTCCTTGCATCAATAGGTAGTTCCTCTTCCCTATGCGTCTAACCTATAGATGGTAAGACATCAAGAACAAGAAACAAGCAAGTCCCTCTCCTGTGTTTCTGATAGACTTCCCCGAGCTCATTATATCTGTCTTTAATTCATACAGTGTTTTAAGAAGCACCAACTACAGGCATGTGTACGTGGGTGTATCGCAGGTGTGTAGTGTGAGCATTACAATTGTACACCCCGAATGGCGAACAAATACGGAGCCACATTAGAAGAATAAAGCAAACAAAAAACATTTAAATAAACTTACGAGAATGAGTGGAAATAGACAAACCGAAATATATTCACTTTCTGGGAATGAGAGGGCGGAGATAATTTGGAAATAATACGCGGCTCCCTCTAGGGCACACCTGTTATTAAGTGTCAGTACCCGTAGCTGCAGGTGAGAGTTGCAAATAAGGTAATCCAATGCAGGTACTGACGTATGAAATTAATTTTATCACCAACCTCCTCCTCCTCCCCCTCTTCCTCCTCCTCTTCCTCCTCCTCCTCCTCCTTCTCGTCCTTCCTTCCCCCTCTCCTTCCTTGTTGTGAGGGAAATGAGTCAGCCTGATTCAAGTTCGTGATGTAAACAGTAGCTGCCAATTTTTCCTTGATATCAGGTCCATTGGGCGTAATAGACCTAGCTTGTAAACATTCTATAATCCTTTGGTCTTTAGGCACCTTCCTCCACATACCAATTGATCCACTTAATATATATCTCTCTCTCTGTTGTCTCCACTGGACGCTGACCACTCCTGGACAACGAGATCATAGCTTGTGGTTTGGTGCCTCTGAGGTGGTCGTACCGTACTGGGTGTTCACGGCGATTACGAGACGATGTTGTGACTTCGGTGTTCAGTGATGTTCAAGACAAAGGACAGGATGTTAAGAGAGAGAGAGAGAGAGAGAAGAATTTTAAAAGTTTGAGGACAAATATAGAAGGGAAAGTTTAACAAAGACAGCTGGAAGTTGTGAGACCTTATCTCTCTCTGTCTCTATTTCTGTCCCTTTCTCTCCCACACTTTCTCTCTCTCTCTTTCTCACTCTCTGTCTCTTTTTTCTTTATCTCTATCTCTGGGGGTAGTGATGAAGTCTGTCTGGTGTTCATTTCTGGGGTACTTATGTTTGTCTCTGGGGGATGATGAAGTTTCTCTAGGGAACGAAGGAGTATTCTCACATTGATTTATCTCTGGGGGTTTGTTCCATCCACTGGCTATTAAGGGGAACACTCAGAGCAGAGAGGCTTACAAGGACCCGAGGGCAAGGGGCAGGAGGTAGTGTGAGGAAGGAATATAATGCGTCCAAGAATGAAGGAAACTACAGTACTCCTATATCACAGCCTACAGTATATCAATCACTCCTATATCACAGCCTATATCAATCACTCCTATATCACAGCCTATATCAATCACTCCTATATCACAGACTATATCAATCACTCCTATATCACAGCCTATATCAATCACTCCTATATCACAGCCTATATCAATCACTCCTATATCACAGCCTATATCAATCATTCCTATATCACAGCCTATATCAATCACTCCTATATCACAGACTATATCAATCACTCCTATATCACAGCCTATATCAATCACTCCTATATCACAGCCTATATCAATCACTCCTATATCACAGCCTATATCAATCACTCCTATATCACAGCCTATATCAATCACTCCTATATCACAGCCTATATCAATCACTCCTATATCACAGCCTATATCAATCACTCCTATATCACAGCCTATATCAATCACTCCTATATCACAGCCTATATCACAGCCTATATCTAACCAACTGATGTTTATCTAACTCCCTCCTAAATCTTAGTTTCTCTAAGTCAAAACCATTGCTATGTTTTCATTTCTGATTTGATAGTTTAAGATGGAAGGAAGGAAGGAAACGCCCCCGAAAACACACGTATACACAACAAAAACACACACAAAAACAAACAACCGCCCCCCATACACAGATTCATACCCAAACAACGACAAGTATGTAAGCAAATAAACTAACACACACACAAACACACACGTACACACCCGGAAGTGAAATTTGTCCAAGAAAACGGAATGGCGTTTCACATCGCCTAAATGGGATGGTAAACTCTTACCTTTGTCGACTCAACGGAAAATGTGACTACTGAGGTTACAAACTGCTCAAGTCTCCCCCCAGTTGAAGATGTTTGCTGAAGAAAAAGAGAGAGAGAAAAAAAAGAAGATTATTTTCCTATAAACATTTGCAAAAAAAAGAAAGATTATTATTATTATTATTATTATTATTATTATTTCTCTGGGTCAATCCATCCATCATGCATTTATCAGTAGTTTGCCTAAAGCCTCACTCCCTTCGGTTCCCTTCCCTTCCCTCCCACCCTTCCTACCTCTCTGCCTCCCTCTCACCTCTCTTTTTTCCCCTCTCCAACATCCCTCACCCAATTTTACCAGCCCCTCCTCCCCTCTTCACCCATTTCCTTTCCTGTCATCCTTCTGCCCTTCCCTTCATCCCTCCTCCTCTTCGCTCCTTCCCTTCCTTCCTCTCTCTCCTTTACCTCCCCTCTCCATTTCCTTCCCTCCCCCTCTCCCCTCTCCTGGCAGTACCAACATACCTGCTTTATCATTGAGAGCAGGTTATCTGCCAACTGCTTGCTCCCCCTCCTCCCCCTCCCCTTTCTCCCCCCTCCCCTCTACTCCTCTCACATCCCTTCTCACTGTAATTGCTCAGACACTTTGTGAGGCACGACCAAAGTATGTCTCGAGGGTACACGACCAAGAGGTATGTCTAGAGGTTGATAGGGTATGTCTCGAAGGGTACGATAAGGGGTATGTCTCGAAGAAGGGTACGATGAGGTATGTCTCGAAGGGTACGACCAGGGTATGTCTCGAGAGAATTTTGACGGGTATGTCTCAAAGGGTACGACCAAGGTATGTCTGGGAACGACCAAGGGTATGTCTTAAAGGGAATTTTACGACCAAAGGGTATGTCTCAAAGGGGTACGACCAAGGTATGTCTCCGGGGTACGACCAAGGGTATGTCTCAAAAGAATTTTGACCAAGGGGTATGTCTCAAAGGTACGACCAAGATTTATGTCTCCAAGAACGACCAAGGGGTATGTCTCCAAAGGCCACAAAGGAGCGATAAGGATAAGTAACCAATGGGGAGAGTGGTGTTTGCAAGGTGAGAGTGTTAAGATGTAGTGTTGCAGAGAGTGAGATAGGAGGGAGTAATGAAGCAAATTTACTACGACCACCACCACCACCATCACCACCACCACCACCATCACCACCATCACCACCACCACCATCACCACTACACCGATCACCACAAGTACATCTACAACCACCACAACCACCATCAGCACAATCACTCTCACCTCCTTTTCCTCCCTCAATCGTTCAGGTGTTGAGCTTCACCTTCACTATGTAGACTTCAGGTAACAATAATAAACATAGAGGACCACCGTCATGTGTCCCTGCTGACTGTAGCCGAGTCCTTCTTTGGGGGAAACACTTTGAGGTACCTGAATGTCTCAACTGATCTGTGATGGTAAACAGACCATCAGCTGATAACTAGTGTAGGGAGGCTGGTGTGTATGTATGAGGGAACACACACACACACACACACACACACAGACTAGGCGTCCCCTGATCTCTCGCTGCTGCCGGGTATCACGTCTTCCTCTTAACAAGGTGAGACAAACACATGGGCTGTAATCACCTGGTGTCTGGAGGCGTGATACTCTGTCCGATAACGTGATGTAGGCAAGATTATCCCTCCCCTTACTACTGGCCCCCCCCTCCCCCTCCTTCTCTACCTCCATCCCTCTTCCTCCCCTGTATACCTCCCTCTCACCACTCCTTCCATCCCTGTTACCGTTTCCTCCCCTCCCTAGTAACCTCCTTCTCTCCTCCTAAATGCCTCCTTCTCTCCCCTCCCCTAGTAACCTCCTTCTCTCCTCCCTAGTAACCTCCTTCTCTCTCCCTCCCCTAATGCCTCCTTCTCTCCCTCCCTAGTAACCTCCTTCTCTCCCTCCCTAGTAACCTCCTCTCCCTCCCTAGTAACCTCCTTCTCTCCCTCCCTAGTACCTCCTTCTCTCCCTCCCTAGTAACCTCCTTCTCTCCCTCCCTAGTAACCTCCTTCTCTCCCTCCCTAGTACCTCCCTCTCACCACTCCCTCCATACATGTCTTTATTGCATCATTTTCGACAAACTTCAGATAACATACTAAACTCTTCAGGCAACATCAGGGAAAAACACCAACTTCAGGTAATATGAAACCTTAATTAAAGATATATTAGAGGAATCTATAAAACTTCAGGTAAAATCCATGTAAAACTTAAGAAGGTATTGAAGGCGGTAGGTTAGGTTAGGTTAGGTTAGGTTAGGTTAGGTTAGGTTAGGTTAGGTTAGGTTAGGTTAGGTTAGGTTAGGTTAGTGTTAGTTTGGTTAATGTATAGGTGAAATAAGCTGGGGTGGATATTGTTCAGCTGATCCGATTATCGCGGCTTTATAATTAAGAGATGTGATAAACAAACTAAAAAAAATAACAGTTGGTTAAACGGTATAAGCAGTATATACACAAGAATACATATAAATACACATATTCATCCTAACACGTATATATACTCACATATGCATACATAGAGACGGATGTAAATAAAAAAAACATACATACTCAAATATACAGACATACATATGTGCAAATGCAAACACAAACAAAAACAACTTGAATATACAGGAAACATTCAACCACACACACACACACACACACACACACACACACACACACAGAGACAAATATATACACACTCAGGCAGGGGGGGTGGGGGAGAGGTCAGCGTGTTTCCAGTCATAGATTTAGGGATTACCTGTTGGGGCTGGCACTACTGGTGGCTGATCCTGCCCTGTGTGACTCTCTCTCTCTCTCTCTCTCTCTCTCTCTCGTCCACACACACACACACACGCACTTCCTCAGTTTCCTAGTTATGGTTATTCGCCACAGTAACCATGATAGACACTTCACCACACTTCACCACGCTAATATTTCCACAGCGTTCGACTGCCACAGGGGAAATGAAACAGGAAGCGGAAGGTGTTGTGGTGGTGGAGGGTACAGGGTGGAGGTACAGTGTAGTGGAGGCGGTACTGTAGTGGAGGGTACAGGGTGGAGGTACAGTGTAGTGGAGGCGGTACTGTAGTGGAGGGTACAGGGTGGAGGTACAGTATAGTGGAGGGTACAGGGTGAAGGTACAGTATAGTGGAGGTGGTACTATGATGGAGGTACAGGGTGGTACAGTGTATAGTGGAGGGTACAGAATTGAAGGTACAGTATAATTAGGTACAGAATTGAAGGTACAGTATAGTGGAGGTGGTACTATAGTGGAGGTACAGAGATTGAGTACAGTATAGTGGAGGGTACAGGGTGAAGGTACAGTGTGAGTGGAGGGTACAGGGTGGAGGTACAGTATAATTAGGTACAGAATTGAAGGTACAGTATAGTGGAGGTGGTACTATAGTGGAGGGTGCAGGGTGGAGGTACAGTATAGTGGGAGGTACAGGGTGGAGTACAGTATAGTGGAGGTGGTACTATAGTGGAATTACAGGGTGGAGGTGCAGTATAGTGGAGGTGGTACTATGAGTGGAGGGTACAGGGTGGAGGTACGAGTATAGTGGAGGTACAGGGGTGGAGGTACAGTATAGTGGAGGCGGTACTGTAGTGGAGGGTACAGGGTGAAGGTGCAGTATAATTAAATTGCAAGGGTGAAGGTACAGTATAGTGGAGGGTACAGGGTGAAGGTACAGTATAGTGGAGGGTACAGGGTGAAGGTACAGTATAGTGGAGGGTACAGGGTGGAGGTACAGTATAGTGGAGGGTACAGGGTGGAGGTACAGTATAGTGGAGGGTACAGGGTGAAGGTGCAGTATAGTGGAGGTGGTAATGTGGTGAAGGGTACAGGGTGGAGGTACAGTATAGTGGAGGTACAGTATAGTGGAGGTGGTACTGTGTTTTGTCAAAAGGAGAATTATATAACTTACGATACCTTCTGAGACTCTGCCTTACGATAGTTTCAGAGACTCTGCCTTACGATAGTTTCTGAGACTCTGCCTTACGATAGTTTCTGAGACTCTGCCTTACGATAGCTTCTGAGACTCTGCCTTACGATAGCTTCTGAGACTTGGGGTGATAGACGATATACTTTTCGGGCGGTCTTTAATTATCGCTAGTCGGTCAGTTCCCCTTATGACGACTTTCCTGAGGCTCGTACGTGATCGATTCTCTGAGGCTGATCCTTAAGTTGTAACTTGAACAAGATGTTGTGGGTTCACACACACACACACACACACACGTACACACACACACACACACACACACACACACACACACACACCTGCGGGTGACCGGCAACTATCATGTTTCCCCAAGATCCACCGCAGCCTCGAAGAGGGGGGGGGCAGTGAGAGGAAGAAGGCTTTGGGCATCAAGATTAGGGAAGGGAAGGAGGGAAAAGAAGGGTGAGAGGAAGGGGATGTAGGGAATGGGGGAGAGTAGGAGGAAAGGGGTGATGGGGAGGAAGAAAGAGAGAGAAGTAGATAAAGGATGGATGGGAGGAGTAAAGGGAATCTGGAAAGGCTGGAAGAGAAGGGAAGGACGGAAGGAAAGGAATTAGAAAGGGAAATGGAAGACGTCTCTCTCTCTCTCTGTGTGTGTGTTCCAATCACCCTCTGACTGGTTCGACAACACCGACCAGAAAATAATACACAACGGTACTCTTTTAACGGGAAACACACACCACACACACACACACACACACACACACACACACACACACACACACACACACACACACACACACACACACACACACACACACACCAAACAGAATCATATAACAACGCTAAAATCAACGCAATAAAACTTTCTCCTTCAGAATAAACGTTGAACGCTTAAACGCAGCTTGAGGAGTTCGCGTCGACTTGTGGAGAATTAAAACAGCTTAAAAAACAACAACTCGTAGATAAAAACTTACTAATCTTTGTAAGTGTGTGTGTGTGTGTGTGTGTGTGTGTGTGTGTGTGTGTGTGTGTGTGTGTGTGTAAGGTGAATGACAGATATGGCTGGGGTGTCAAGGTATGCTATTAACGCCATCACATTCTTTTTAATAGTCAACTTACTACACAACACACCACCA